ACTAGTACAGTAATCTAATTTATTGAATAAAAAGATTTGCCAGCCTACGTCGTTTCAATTCTTGATTGCATTTCTTTTATCACTGGCGACTTACCATTTCCAAAAATTTTAGGACATTTAATTATTTTTTATATTAAAATGTTATACCCAAGCATTCGAGCATAAGATTTTACCGAAAGAAATAAAGGAGACAAGTTTTCAACAAATATTATTCAATAAAAATATAATGCAAACAACTTTATTGAGGAATCCCTCGCGTCTCTATAAGGGAAAATACTTGAAAAAAAACCCCCGGAAAGAAGTTCAAACTTATATCGCGCCTCTAGCGTGCGGGACAAGCTCCGGCGTGAATAATTTCAAACAGATTACATTTGCGCTATCGGGAAAATTAATCTTGATCTCAGTATGTCAGCGTTATATTAAGAAATCGCGATCGCGAGATTTGATTAAGTGAATATCGCGGTATCGCAAGAAGCGCGCTACATCGTATCGCCTCGAATAATCGCCGTATCCGCCACGTTATTATTGCAATCTGGTTCCCGCTACGGAGAAGCGCATGCATCAAGCAGCGTACATATTCGCGTTAAAGGCTGTCGCGGTCGCGACCGCTTCGAGTTATTGGTGTTTCAATCGCTCGTTCGCCTGTCGCCTGCTTTAACATCTCCCCGTGCAACGCCACGCATGCACGCGTGCGTTTTGCGTGCCTTTTTATGGCCACTGCCTCGCAAAAGTCGTACATACGCGCCTACATGCGTGCGCTACGCGAGGAGTTTCTCGCCGACCTGGCTTTCCTTCGGGTTCTCGTTGCTTTCAAACCTTTTATTATAGTTTCTTCCGTTATGTTAGCACATTTTCTATGCGCGTGCTCTGATTATATCCACTTTTATCGCGTCAATTATTTTATTGGCCCGAAAAGATTGATTGATAATTGACAAAAGATTGACAATTCCTGAAAAATATATCTACTAAAAGCTGCTGTCATAATCCTCTACCATTATTTTTCTCCCTCCGATATCGACAGGACACTCATATGACGAACCGGCAGACGTGGAGAGATAGTTTTCTTTTTTTCTTTAACAATCGCGTTACATTGTTCTATCTTCAACGTCCTTAAAAAAAAAAAGATTCTTTCGAGATTCCCTTCGGAGCTCGTTTGGGATACGACTGACTTGGTAGATTACTGACCGTTCGGCGAAACCGATACTGCTTCTTGTACCCACCTTTTGCAAACCTCCGCGGCTTGATAAAATCACGGCGCGAGAGAGGACGAGTGCGGTAAGAGGCAGGGGAGAGGGGAAAAGGAGAGGAGAGAGGAGCGTGGGCTCCGCTCGCGCGAGTGAATGAACCCGGCAGAAACGAGCGAGAGAGGTGTAACACATTCATTTAAGCGCTACACTAAATTCTCACGGAGCGCGGCGCGCGGACTATCGCGCCTGCGGTGAGATTTTTATTTATTGCAACACGTTGAGCTTAACCGCGAGACGCTAATTGCGACGCGACTCGCGTCGCCGTAATTGCGTCTATTACGCCTGTTACAGCAGTTATCCGGAATTATGGGTCAAGCCCGCGCGAGAGGGAGGGCTTGACGGTGGCGATTGTTGCGGATATGTGGGTTAACGTAATCCATCGACCCGGATTCCTTGCCAACGCCGTCGTGTAACGAGCGACGTTCGCGGTATCAAGGACACGGCGTTACCTCCGAGTGTTCGCTTTTACTCCGTTATCATCGATCCTAGACGTCGCCCGCGGCGATTCGCAATTCCTATCGCGATATCTGCGCGGCGCGTTTTGCACAAAATTCTTATTTTCGCACAATAGCCGGGAAGTTCATCTTCGGGAGGATTTCTGCAAAGTTTGGAACTGCGCGATATTGCAAATTAACTCGCGGGAGAAACTGATACGGCTTGCATGAAAATTGCTATCCGGAGGTTTTCCGCCCGCTAACTCGGAATGCGGGAAGTCCTTGCGTTACACGGGAAATCCCTGCTTCAAGAGCTAAACTAACGGACAATGAGACAGCTTGCATTAAGAAAAGAAAACTAACCAAATTTCGTATTGAGATTCTTTTGCGATCTTTCGAATTAATTCTCTCAAATTCGAAACTTATCAGCGATCTTACAAGCTTCCGTGAAATAGGTGCACCAACTACTGAAACTAAGGGCCATTTTCACCAACGTCGATATTATCTGATAAGAGGGCAGAGAGAGTCGACTAAACCTCCGGCCAACGATCAACCAGAAAATGAAAAGCCGAGCCTTATTGTCTGAGAAGAGACAGAGAATCAATTAACCTTCGGTTAGCAGTTAACCGACGTTTGTGAAACTGGTGCTAACTGCAAGGAGTCTTCTTCAAGCAATTCTATTTCGTAGCGTAAAAGTTAGCCGCGTTATTCTCCCAACGACTTTCGTTCACTTCAAATCAATCTTTCAGTTATCGCTTCGTAAGCTATTTTTACACACACGGACGCGGCAATAAGGATAATTTATTCGAGATCGGGACACGACGAGGGGAGGGGGGGGGAGGAAGGTCGCCATGGGACTCATCTCGTTACTTCCGATAACGTGGAAGAGTTAACGCGTTATCGCTTCTCGATCCCCGCAGCGGGGGCCTCACCGAGCGGTCCTGTGCCCGGTGAACCCTCGCAATCCCCTCAAGAGACCCGTGTGCACGCTTCTGTTGCAGTTACGATAATGTAGACTCGCCTAATTATGCCAGGCACCTGAACGGGCACGGCTCGCCGCCGGCGGCTAACTCGTCCCAGCGCGATGGCATCCACGGCGGCACCGGCGGTGCCTCCTCGCCGTACAATCACAATTATTCGGGGGACGGCAGCTATCAGTACGGCAGGTTCGACGCGAGCGCCCTGCACATCGCCCATGCGCTCAAGCAGACCGAGCTACAGAAGGGCTACAGCAAGGCCCGCGAGAAACCCATCGATTATTATCTGGTGAGTCACTGGTCGCTCGCTCGGCCGCGGTTGATGTAATCGTTCTCGTCATGCTCGTCGCCGTATAAGGACGAGAGTGTTACTATTCCGACACGCGCGTGCCACGCCGCGAGCCGATTGCGTCTAACGCGGCTGTTGCGAACACGCAATTTCCTGGAGAACCGGAAAACCGTTCTCCACCACGGGGATCGCGACTCAGCATCTTCGAACGGAGACACGGCGATACCGCGCGGAGATTGTTACGTCGGGCGCGTACAGCAGTCACGTTCGCTCCGATCGCGCGGCGCGAGGGCACCGGGGCAGCGGGCAGGTCTGCGAAAATATCGTTAATTAATAACGCGAATTAGCAATGATAATTTCGGAGTGCGTATAGGGAAGCGAACAATGGCGATGTGGTAATTGACTTTTTGCGCGCATATGCCGCCCGCTGGTGTTATTAGCTTCTTCCTGAAACGGGGGCAAAGGGGGAAGAGGGGGAGGTGCATTGTGTGCATGAGCGAAAATACGCACAATGGGCTGCCAGCTACTTCCGTGCTTAGTAATAAAATCCAGATCAATGGCATGCGGATACAGCTAGGCTCTTCTTCTGATTTTTCGCGAGATTTGCGTTTGACGCCAAGATCGCCAGAGTGTCCCTTCTTCAATTTGTACAAATATAATTGCGATTGGATAACTTCTCTCTAGACTCAGTTTTTAAAAGACACTGACTGAAAATGAATCTTCATTTAGAATTAAACGATATATGCGATATAAAGACATTCAAACAAACAACAGATAAATTCACCATTCCTGCTAACAAATTCGAGATATTTTCGGTCAAAGTATAATAAAATATTGTATCTCACTACAATCACTGCACATTTGCTGTATTTTTAGATTGGGAAAAACAGCACAGCACGATATAGCGTTAACAAATATCTACCAATCTGTAACTATCGCACGTTACGTCAACAAATTATGCCAACATACTAACGGCTGGTTGTTCCGACCTCTTGGCAAATTAATTAATTAGTTAGTTAAATCATATGTACGTCTTTGTCTTCCCTTTAAATCAGACAAAGATAGACAAATCAGCCAAGATGTCTTTTGAAAACAGAGTCTAGAGAAAAGTTATGCAATCGCAATTTAATTAACATTTGTACAAATTAAAGAGGAGACACTGGCGATCTTGGCGTCAAACGCAAGTCTCGCGAAAAATAGGAAGAAGAGTTGCATCCGCATGCCATTCCTTTAAATCGGACAAAAATAGATGTACAATTTAACTATTGGTTAACTTACCAAGAGGTTGGAAAAACCGGCCCTAAAGAGATAAATACATCGCTTGGTGATCGCGACTAGACAGTGCGAGAGGCAATATCGCGGAGCTCCGAGTTGTGTACGATCGAACTCGAATTTCAACTACCTTCTCCCGGTTTTCGCCCGGCGAGACCGCGAGACTTCCGACCGCGGAGCGCCGAATTTCCGATCGCGGGAGCGCCGATCCGGCATACATACCGCTTCGCCGCGTGACTCCCATACGCGAATAATCGCACGCCAGGCGCGGTGCAGGAATGCGGCGAACCGTCGCGAGAGAACGGACCCCACATGAAAATGAGATTACCGCTTTTCCCATCCGCGCGCCCATCCGGAGTAATAAGGCCGAGCCGCTAGTCGCTCCACTATCGGTCGCGTTTTCTCCCAATGCGCTTTCGCGCGTTCAGATCGCCGCCGCCGTCGCCGTCGATCGACCGATCGATCCTTATTTATATGCAGTTAAACGCCCAGCCTATGTATGGCATTTACGCGTACGAAGGCGGCGTGGGCGCCGCGGCTGACGAGGCAACGATCTCCGGCGTCCTTTCCGACGGCGACAACACGCGCGCGCGCGCGGTAGCGGAATTACCGCGCGGGTTCGTCACGATCGCGAGACAATCGCGATTTCTTTTCCGCGGCGGAATAATCAACGGGCGTGACTTATCCGGTATTTGTTCTGCGGCGTCGTATCGCGGGGGCCTCCTCCTACGCTCGCGCGCGATCGGCGACCAGGTCGAATCGACTCCGGGCCGCTCTGCCCACACGCTCTGCCGAGGGCCAAGATAATTCTTTCGAATAGAATACGCGACGCGACGAGCGAGCCTCCTTCTCGCGCCGCGTATTATGTTTAATTGGCGAAACAGCCCCGGGAATCTCAGGAACGACGGGGACGCGTAACAGATCGCTGCGCGTGACTGTGATCGAACGAGCGCAATTACTCCGATATGTCAGCCTCCGTCGCGAGTCGAGCAAATAAGAGCCACACGATTCAAACTGGTATAGGGATCCAGAATGAGCGCCGGGAATCGTGGCACGCAGACACGCAGACATGCGTTGCTTCTCGATTTTAAGTGGACGCTCGCTTTGTCATTTTTCACGAGAATCGAGAGGGAACCTCGAGACTGCTCGAGGGAGAACCTCAAGACTTCTTGATGATAATGTAAAGCCGAGTTATTAAAATTTAATATGAAAAATTGAAAGTACAGTGGGCCCCTAATGGCATTTGATCACGTGCCATACGCCGACTAGACGCCGTGGAATACACTTGAAAAGGGCCAAAACCCATGGCCGAAACGTTGGGCTACAATAAAGGAAATTTTCCGGTAGCCAGTTGTGTCGGATTATTCAATCTAATTGTTAATCACCGGAGATTCAATATTCCAAATTTTGCTTGAAACATTGAAAGTTGAACTCTCTAAAAGTCAATCAGTGGATTAGCACTGAAAACAGTGAATAGTCACTGATTTGCAGTTATAAGTATACACCACATCCGGAAAAAAAGATTTGGCTTGAACGAGGATACGTTGAAACCACGTTTTTTTAATCCACTAAATTTTTATTTACTAAATACATTTGCCAGATTTGAAGAAATAGATACGAATTGTCTTAGAAATTCCAGTCTCAATCAAATAAAATTTTGGTGAAGGTGAAGAAATCATTTCTTTAAAATTAAATAAACGTCTAGTAAGGTAAAAATTCAAACTTTCGTTTCAAACAAGCTTTTTCTGGGTGCACTTGTGATTTTCTGAAAACCACACTTACAACAGTGACTGTTTTTAGTGATAATCCACTTTTAGAGAGAAGAGATTAGAAACTCGGAGGATTAAATAATTATTTGGCCGCACAAAGTACGATGCACCGAAGCACACGTGAGGACTTCTCGGTGCGAATTAACTTCCCTCGGTTGTCGCCCGCCGTTTTCCTCGGGACGCGAGCACAATGTGCTGCGAGAGGTCGGTGCCGCCGCACGTCGTTGTCGCTCGTGATTATTCAAATCGTTATCACGGAAGAACGCGTACACGTCGTCGTCTTATTTCCCTCGTACGCGAAACCGCCGTGCCGGGTCGGGCCGGGATGTACCGCGCCGCGTGCACGCGAAGGAAGGCTTTACGTCTACAACGGGGAGGCGAACGAGGAGCAGGCGGACGGCGGGTGGGCGGGGGCGGGGAAGCAGAATTATTTCCGCTTGCGGTACTTCTGCACTTGATGGCTAATTAGAGAATCGTTGCCGGGCCGCGTAAAGAGCTGGCGGGGATAGCGCGTGTGTACTCCGGCCGCCCGTCTCTCACGCGCCTTCGCGCGTAAACGCTTAGGGAAAATTAATCCATTAAAGGCCGTTGTCCCATTTCCGGGAATACGCTCTGAACGGCAGATCTCTCGCGGCGAATCAAAGTATCTCCGTGCATCGCGCGAGAAAACTCGGCTCCGCCTCGCGCGCGCGGTTAAAAACGTAAAAAAATTATATTCCGTGGGCGCGCGCGTGACTTCCATCTGTTTCCAGCGTAACGTTGGCTCCCGCCGGAAAGCCTAAAACACGATTAAAGAAAAACAGCCTTGAATTACGTCAGGCTGAACTCTCGAGGTTTACTGGTCATTCCGAAAAACGTCGCGAGCAGGTTTCCCCACGATAAACAGCGCACACATGAAAGTCTTATACATTTGTTTCTTCCGTTTTGCGCTAAATTAGTGAATTCGCCGACCAGGCAAGCATTGAATTTGTTGCCGGCGAAGCTACGTGTATGTAAATGACGTTTAACGAGAAAACCGTGTTCTTTAACGAGTATGCAAAAATTTTCTTTTGCTGCCATTGAGCCTTGAGTCGCGTTTATTCAAATCAGACACGTATTAGGAATAACTATGACTTCGCCGACGTCTTTAATCAATATGTATCAGAGGGAAATTATATAATGCGCTACTCCACTCGAAAACAAACCCGTTAGGATTTTTCATAAAGCAGACCAATTTTCTTGGCGATGGATCTCTCAATCTTTTATTGTGGTAAACCCTTACCTCCCTCTCTCTCTCTCTCTCTCTTCCAAATTAAATTGAAAAAAATTGCACTGAAGAAATCCCGTCACACGACTTCAAAAGAACATATTTGTCTCCCGCAACGACAACATTTCCCCTGCTCATGTTTTCATTGCATTAATATTTCCGGTTGCGACTACGGGCGAAAAGAGTCGCGGGGCGCAACTCGCGTACCATTTTTGAAAAAATACACCGGAAGAGGATTAGTTCACTTTTGTCGACCAGCGGCGGGTTGTCGCTCCCCCGAGGAGACTCTCTTGGAAGCGAATGAAAGCAGAAACGCGACGTGAAAGTAAATTATACAAAAAGTGGAGTACCTACCTCTAAGGCCAGAGCTGCGGGCGTTTTAAGAAATAGAAACGTTTCATTGCGTCCGACCGTATCCGCGAGCCACGTCTTCTTACGACCGGCGGAATGCTTCCTGGCATGTAACGACATTTTAATCCTTAATTAGTAACACGCCGATCGCATGCCATTAGCCTCGCGAAATTACGTAAATTATCGAATACCGAGTTTCCGATATATTTTACTTTACGTAATATAAATTTCATAATACTTTAATGTATTTATATAAATTCATTGTATTGTGTAAATACTTTCTATAAATATATTACTTATTATATATATTATATTATTATATATATATATTATATAATACATTTATTGAAGTCTATTTGTACGAAATATTATTAAATACTAATGTATGAAATTAATGTAAATTCATTTCAATAAATAATAATAATAGACTATATATTTGCTAAACATCGATATCTACATCGTTGTAAAAGAAAATTATATAATAGATATTTTCATATATGCGATATTTTTACGAGACATTTCCGTTGTCGATTAGAAATTAAATGCAACTACGAAAAATTAAGTTCTATATAACCTCTATCTTTGCTGCTTTATCTTAGGATCGCGATGAACAGACGCGCCTCGAGATGAAGCATCGGAAGGAAGAAGATGATTTATACCGGAAGTTTGCGCATCATCGCGAGGAAGAGGACCGGCGAATCCGCGAGGAATTCCGAGTACGTAACGATTGAGGCGGATTCTAACAAAATTGTTGCAATTTCTCTGCGTTTTACACGTTAACTTTTTACACGATTAATCACGAGTAATATACACGTTGATGAAATGTCAATATATTACGCATGATTCGAAAAGGATGAGTGGGAGAAGGAGCTGGAGCAATTGTCGGCGAGATGGGAACGGGAAAAAGGCGGAAGAGTTCGAACCCAGCAATTTCAGCAGGAGAAGGAGGACTTGGAGAAGAACATGACTCTACGCAGGGACAAGAAGAAGGAAAGTCTCACGCGCAAAATGCTGGAGCACGAACGGTATTTATTACGCAATTAACGCGATATTTTGTTTGAGAGAGCAATAGAAATGCCTCATTTTTTTTCCAACGTAAACATTTCACCCGACGAATTTGTTACAAACATCATTTGAACTAGCACATGCGTAGTTAAAGTGGAAGGGCACATAACAAATTTCAAATTTCAAATGCAAAACTAAGTTGAAAAATTGTACACTTTTCATTAACTCGATGTTAACGTGTCGACGTTTGTTATGCACTTGGCACATAAAATAATTTGCGATTTGCGCGCCGTTATATTTATTATATGATGTATCAACGAGACAATCTCGAATGGGATTACGAATATCGATTCCATGCATTTTTCGTTACGGAAGAACGCACGGGAGGAGTTACGCGTGCAACACGTTACGAGCCGCGGTAGCTTCGGCTTTATGTTTTTATCGTTTCTTTTTTCCCTCGGACGATAAACAAGCTCGCGTGCGCTGGCGCTCGCGAACCGGGAAGCCGGGGTTTTCGCGCTCACAAAAGCTCCTCGTTACTCCTGATCAATTTATAGGGCGGCAACCGCCGCGCTGGTGGAGAAACAGAGCTCGGAGATGCTGGAGCTGATCAATGAGGCGAGAAGCGAGTACATGCTACAGGAGAGTTTATACCTTGACGAAGGAGACGGTTATGCCCAGGAAGCGCCGCCTCCGCCTTATCCATCGCGCGCGCCACCCCCGCAGCCGCCAACCCTCGCCAAGTACCATATCTACAATGATCCCCTGGAGTTCGCCGACATGGATCAGATAGCTATTTCGGTAAGACCTCACCGAGGAATTCTTTCAGCGCTGGCTTCCTCGCGCGAGTCTTCCCCCTCGTCGCCGGGACGAGATTTTGCGGCGTACGGTCTATCGCAAATATTCCAAGGGAACTATCGTCTTTCGCGTTATAATATTTTATTTAGTTTGTCGCGCGTTTTGTGCTAATGGACTTAAACTCGAGGAACGCTTTTCAAAATCTAGCCAACATTGATCCCATACAGCACCGACAGATTGCAGAAACATTGTGCAATATCGGAAATCACGAGACTATCAAGTAGCGTTGCTACACTTGTTATTAGGCCGCGTTTGGAATATATGAGAAATAATATAAATTTGAAGAATCTAAACAATATTATAATACGTTACAAATATACTTTGCAAACTTCATAATATTTCTACAAGGTTACTGAAACATTGTCGGCAAAAAAATTACAATTGACTGTCTCTGAATATCTGCAATATTACATTGCAATCTGCGTTGCAATGTTTCTGAAATGTTTCTGAAAGCTTTGGTGCTGTATGGGACATCTCTACTTTCTTTGTTACATCTAATCTCTGGAGATGTTACTCACGTTGGGTTATAACGCATAAGCGATTGAGCCAGGCAACATACATTTAACATTACTTTTGTAAGATTTACTAACCGACGCTAAGCGATTTCAAGTGTCGTGTATTGTTCTTAGGTAGCCCAAGAAGATCAAAAAACGTTCACCGACTTGGTGCGACAGTTGGTGAGCAGATGTGGATCGGATATAGAAAAGGCGAGGACAATATTTCGATGGATCACCGTGAAGAACCTGAACACTATGCAGTTTGACGAGAACTTACGGGGTGACACTCCCATGGGTCTGCTGAGGGGCATCAAGCATGGCACGGAAAGTTACCACGTTTTATTCAAGCGATTATGCAGGTAACCGCACGCTAACGATATTATTATAAAAAATAGACGAACGTATTCAAAATTTCTTCGAGTATTAATGACAGAACGGCAAAAGTTGAAAACCTCATAAAGATATCAAGAATTTACACATGCAACCATTTATATCGCACTGGACAACATAATTTGTTCAAATTTAGAATAAAAAAAACAAGAGACTGCGAGATTTCATTTCTTTAGAAAAGTATACAGATTTAATTAAAAGAATTGCAGAGTGCTTTTCTAAAATAAAAATTGTAAAATGTTATATCACATTGCCGTAATTATTGTATGAAAGCTAGCGTATATAAACTTTTTAATTTTAATAAACTTTGTATTACACAAATCCGTGTAACTCGCGTGGAAGCACGCGGTGCACATTAAAGCGCATAACAAAGTCTATAAAGAGATTAAGGATTAATTATCGAAATGTCCGATATTTACTCGTACGTTTCACCCGTGAAAACTGGCGGCACCTAAATTGCTAAATAACGTTGAACGCAGTTATGCGGGCTTGCACTGCGTGGTCATCAAGGGTTACAGCAAGTCGGCGGGCTATCAGCCGGGCGTTTGCTTCGAGGACAACCGATTCCGGAACAGCTGGAACGCCGTGTACGTGGCAGGTGCATGGCGGTTTGTCCAGTGTAATTGGGGGGCACGACACCTCGTCAATGCCAAAGAGGTTCCCCGTCCTGGCCAGGCGAAAGCTAAGAACGACAGCCTCAGGTACGACATGCCAAAGTCCGCGGTATCGTGATTGCAGCGTTCGCGTGTGCAAATAAAACGATCGATGAGATCACGAGAAACGTTTCACTTAGGTACGAATACGACGATCATTACTTCCTGACGGACCCCCGGGAATTTATATATGAATTCTTCCCCCTGCAAGAGGACTGGCAGTTGCTTAAACAACCGATTTCACTTAAGGATTTCGAGGAATTGCCTTTCGTACGGTCTCTATTCTTCAGGTAAGGCAACATTCCTATGGTCTTCGTTTTTTAAATGCATACGAGATATAAGAGATACACCGGGATCTACATACAAGTTGCTACAATATTTCTCTCTTCACGCAATGAAATTCATTACTCAATGCTACGTGTATTTTAAATTTGGCAAAGGTAGCGACAGCTTCGAAACGTATCGCGTCTTAATAAAGTAAATTCGCCCATTGAAGCTCGCTTAAAGACCGTTAGGACGCGCAATTAAATCGATGGTCTCGCAAGCGTGGCGAGATTGGTCTATTAACAATGACCGTAAGTTGCACAGCGAAAATCCCGTTCGGATAAATTCTGCGTGTACAGGTACGGCCTTTACTTTCCGGATACGAATACGAATGCCGTTATGTATACGGATTCCACCGGCGCTGCGACCGTGAGGATAGCGATGCCGGCGCATATGCAATCATCCCTTATCTTTCATTACAATCTCAAGTTTTACGACAACGACGGCGATGGCTACGACGGTGTGTCGCTCAAGCGTTTTGTCATGCAGGTAAATTGATAGTCTGCGTCTTCTATACTCTCGCCATGATTTATCTCAAGCAGCTTGAATTGCGTTACTTTGATCTTAAAATATATCACCAAAGTTGCGTAGGGCAACGCACGCCTCTAAATTTAATTGTAAAATAAAATATTGACAATTCGTTAACGGGCCCATTTTGTGACTTAAGCCTTTAATTCGAAAATCAAAAAAGAGAAAAGCTTAAATTTAACTTTAATTCGTATAATTACTCAAACATTTATGTACATGTATAAAACGGTTGAAAATTTATTATATATTCCAATGTTATTATTAAATTTTTATTCTCTTATTCTCGCCATTTTTGTATTTGCATTATTCACTGTACTTTATAGCACTGTTAAGTCACACGTTTGGTAAAACACGCGCTTCATATTTTGTTACATTTATAACAAGATAAGACGACAACATGGAACGTTAACGGGTCGATACTCAAGTAAATTTTACGAATTCGAAATTTTTTCTAGTCGGTTGTGGGGAATATAGTTGCGTTCCGAGTTCACGCACCGTGTTCCGGTGCCTTTCTCTTGGACATATTCGCCAATGCGGTAACGCCGAAGGAATACTTGACCGGCGAACCGATGAAATTCAAGAGTGTCTGCAAATTCAAAATCGCCTGTGAAGAACTGCAGACGGTGATGGTACCACTGCCGGATTGCGCGAGTGGCGAATGGGGCCCCACCAAAGCTACCAGACTATTTGGTCTCATACCCATCACTCATCAAGTAAGTGAATTATTGAGTCAACCCATAAATAGTGCGGTATGAAAACAGGGAGCTCGATTTATTCTCCAGCTCAAAACCGACAGACTTTTGTCGCCAGGGAAGTGAAAATTTCAGATCAAGACGGAGGAAAGTTGTGAATAATAGTAAAAAGTATATTTTGGATTAAAAGTAAAATTTTTTGCTTCGTCTCAAAAATATCTCTGAAAAACCCGCACTACTTATGAGACGATCCAATAGTTAAGTCAATCTGTTTGTACAATTAATTCGCGGCAAAAAAAGTCGAAAATATCACCGAAATTATGCAAAGTGATTCGGAAACATATATAAACTTCTATTTTTTATCAAGTTAAATTTTGCTCGAAGTAAAATTGTACAATCATACGCATAAAAATTTAACATTAGAAATTTGTATAAGTTGAATAACATTGGGCCATCTTAGTGTCGATAAAAAGAAAACGACGCAATCGCGCGTTTTCAAAAAATAAAAGGATTAATGCTGATTTTCAAGATGACTGCACAAGATACTTTGAACATTTTCATCGAGCGTGGCAATTTCGTTACACCTTTCGTGTAAGACGATTATAATATTTTCGTTCGCAATCAATTCCACGAAAATAAATTTTCTTCCCGCTCTTTTCTGCCACGTGAGGTATTAAGGTGGAAAAAAAAGCGAAATCCAAGAAGGATCGCCAAGAAAGAGGGATCCTCCGATTTTATCGCGCCTGCCAGGCGGGTGGTTTACAATCGCGCGATCTATTGATTTCAGGAAGCCCTAGTGTTCGCCGGGCGCGAACTGGAGATTCAATTCCGCATGTCGAGGCCGTTGACGGACTTCATGGCGACCCTGCACAAGAACGGCATCGAGGAGAAGCGCCTGTCCAAGTACGTGACGCATTCCATCGCCGACGACGACGTGGTCACTTTCTCCATAAGTTTCCCCGAGGAGGGCCAGTACGGCCTGGACGTATATACCCGGGAATCCACGGCCTCGCCCGTCACTCAGCACGACGTCACCGGTGAGAAGCATCTGCTCACGCACTGCTGCAAATATCTCATCAACTCCAGCAAACGGAATTGACAGTGAAATCGGACGCTCTTGGAAACGTACAGTTTCCATTCGAAAATTTCAACCTGAGCTACGGACGACGATTGACAGCGACGGCCGGGATTCCAGTGCTCGTTAAGACGAACGATAACGCAAATGCACTCATCCCGTGGTGCTTTCGGGGAAATTATTAAAATCAGGAAGACGGATTGAAATATCTTGCAGGCATAATAATCGCACTGTCGCTATACCCATCGCGGCAAAATAACTGTTTCACGATCCGAAAATCTCGCTCGTCATATACCGAGCTCATCTCTAGGGGATAGAGAGTTGATAACATAATCGTATCGGAAGTAGATCGGCCATGAATAATAAATTAACGACGCTTTGTCGCGAACGTCGAGACAGAAAGGGGAAAAGTGGCCGGTCGAGTGAGGACAGTGACGAAGAGGCAATGGTGAAAGCAATGGCGTTTCACGCCATTCTTCAAGGACTATTTTTATGCAATTCCGCTACCTCGAGTCTAACAGTAGGCTTACGACTTGGAGATAATTATTAATGTAAAACTAACTGTGGAATTCTTATTTGACGCGGGAGAGACGTTTTTCGAAGGGCTTCGGGCAGAGCAGAAGATATACCTTCGTATATAAGCGAACGGGTTTAACGCGATTTCCTCAACACCCGGTATGTACGGAACGCGCTTACGGTCGTGCTCCCTTGTATCATCTACCGAGTTAGTACTTCCGTATAATAATTCTCCCCTCCCTCCCCCCCGCGATCACGCTTCTCTTACGCAACGTATCAAATAAATTATTGCGGTCTGCGATTCCGTCGTAACAACTTCATCTCGGAGCTTTACTCTCACCGACAGATTTATATATATATTTATCGCTAATACCACATTATTTTCAGTACTTCTTATTATACACGACCTCGATCGCGGATCCATTAAGCGTGTGGACGCGCGTATAGACCGAATACCGTAAGCAAATATAATATATTTTATGTACGAAAGATGCTTCTGTATATATAATGTACGTATATAAGACAATTGCGACTTGAAAATATCGTTATCCACAAGGAACACGGATTCTGAAGAAGCACTCGTTCACTTTCGTTCAGCCCGCTCTCGGTTTCTTGAAATACACTGTCCTCTCTGTAGAACGGTATTATCTATTTTGCAATTAGACTCGCGCGCCTTCGTTTTGACACATTTTTCAAGTCGCAGTTTTCGAGCTGCACAGGTGCTATACTTTATATATTATCCTTTATAATTATACGCACAATCGAGTAGCAGTCATACAATTATTTTAGTGGTAGGATATATAGTATTCGCACCATCGACTATGCGAGCAAAAACGTCGTTCATAACAGATGAAAAGAAGAAACGGTATATATTTGTTAATCGTGTAATATTAATCTTTCTTGTTGTTAATTAAAATTTTAACCACGAAAGGAACCCCCACATTATTGCCTTATGTAATAGATGTAATTCGAGCTTACGAAGCCTATTTTGTTACGCATTAACATCCATAAATATGTAAATTAATTTTTTATATACTGTAGTTACTTTCAATAAAATTTGATATTCTTGTATAAAGATTTAATAAATTGATTTCCACAAAATAATTTCGATTCATTTCGACAGGCCGATCTGCGCAAATTCCCCTTCCATTATGTCAAGTGTTTTTTTTTAATTACATAATTGTTTTCAAACGTATTACAAGGGGCCACATTCTCGCTTGTAGATGGACATCTAGCGGGTGATCTTATTAAATCGGGCATTTAAAAGAATTAAAGAAAGAATCGTAAACAATAGATTCTATTCGCAAAGCTGCTGTAATTTGTAACGAAGCAACAATCGATTTTGGCCAGAAATTGCCTCGGGCTTTTATGTATAAGCGAAAATAAATTCTACATGATAACAATCCTGAAATATGACTCAATAATCAATAACTCGCTTAATAGCTGAGGCACACCGGCTACTGAACAGTTATAATTCATGTAAATTGCACAATTTATGAGATTTCTATCAATCGATTGATTCTCATTTTGGAAAGCGACTCTTTCCGAACTTTAGCATTGGCATACATTACAATTCCGTAGTCGAAAGTATCTACGGACATGTGTGGTAATCGGCTATTAATAAAAGATTCAGAGGCAACGACCTTCGGCAAACCCGTGATAAATATAAAAACCACCAAAAGTACCATCGACGGATACATTCAGTGACACAGACGGTAGTCGATGCATATCAAATTACTGCTGAGTGGCGTCCGTGCGACCGTAGCTGAACAAAACTTACCGCACTAAAGTTTAACGAAGTGAACGGCATCCGCGTCTTCGGTCGCGCTCTTTTTATTTTTTTTTTCCAAACCGACTCGCGATTTCTCTCCGCGCCCAACCGCTTATTATGAAAACTAATTACCAGGATTCGTGCTGTGCATTAGTTCGGAGATGAATCGTCATTTGAGGCCGAAGATTCTTTATCCGCGTTGCGACGAGTCGTCATCGCTAATTAAATAGCCGGCCCCCGGGTCGCAAACCCGCCCCCCTACCCTCCTCCGACCCCTACACTCCGTCAACTTCCGGAATAGCAGGACGATCCCTCGGAATTGCCGAGACGAGAAAGAAGTTTCCTTATTCCACGATGGTACGTGCGGAAAGAAAGATTTCATCGCGCGGGCGGACCACTTTGTGATTTATAGCCCGCTAACTGCTTATTGTAATTGCAGATGAGGGCATCCATTATTGTTATTATCAGCGTCGGCCGCGGAGACAGGACGCGGGATTTAGAAGCTGCTCTCGCCTTATCGTCGCGCGAAATGGGAATTTCTGTTCGCGGCGGTGGCGCGGCTAGAATTTTTAATGGCACTTACAGTAGAACTTATCGCGTGGGAGAGGGCGGGGGCTTCACGTTTTTATTTTTATTAACATAAAATTACCTCCTTTTCACACTCCTTCTGGATATATAACACGATTTACCATCAATGTCCTTAAGGGACCTCGATCGACGACGATTTATCGTACGCAGAGCACGAGGCCGTAATTATTTTTGCAGCTCCACTTATTTTCCGCGCTGCTGCGCGAAACGCACGTCCGCGCTAAATTTCTCGTGTTAAAAACAAAAAAGATACCCGATTACTCGTCTCATTGCGATACGCTCAAACAATTAAAAGGTTTTGCCAGCCTAGTACCGAAACGTGTTCCCTTTTGCCCTCCAGTTTCCATTGTTCGATGATGGCCGCTCGTTAGTATTTCACGCTCCATACACACGCCACAGAGACGATACGGACTCGAAGTGTTTAACAAGCCTCTTCCTTCGTCCCTTTTTTTCCCTCGCGCTTCCTTCCGTTAGATGCAACGTCTTTATAATTGCTCACCGCAAATGGATGGCCATTAATGTATACGTCTATTTGCCAGTATTCCGGCCGCAACATCTTAATAACCGCCGAGCGCAAACAGCAGTCGTTTGATGTACTCTCTTAAAACTTTTCTTTTCATGCGGCGTCATTTAGTACAGTGTCTTTGAAAATTTGCTTATTAAAAGTATCGAAAGTTTAATTAATGGAGTAAAAGGGAAGATGTTTTTCAGTTATTATAAAGAGCTTTCTTCTAAAGCCTTATATATGCACGAGATACCGATATTACACCGACTAGAAAGGTACATAGCATAATAATTATATTAATGTATATACTCTCTGTAAATATCTCGTAACTTCGAGCGGAGAAATTTTATAGCAAGAGAATCTTCTCTTTCACGTTAAAGTAGCCGGGGTACCAACTTTACATTCTGGGCTTTCTTTCTTCCTTCTTTCTTTTTTTTTTGGTTAAATTTTCGCGCAAACGTCAGACGTGTCACACCGCTATCCCGCGCATGCATCGCATCGGCCCGCTTAAAATACACAGCGCCGTGAAACGTAAAAGCTATTTGCCTTTACGAGTGGACTATTTTTGCCGGGCGCGCCGCGGCGCACGCCCACCGCCGCCGCCGCCTCTAATCTAAGGCGCGAGCATCTATAATGCATGCCGAGGCCGTGAGGGTATTTCTAATCCCACGCAACCCCCTTGTGGGGGCCGCAGATAGAGAGTCGAAATATCGGACGTCGAAGTAGCGAGCGCGCGCTGTTTTCCGAGGGGGCGACTTGCACCCTCACCCCCGCGCGCGCGCGCGCGCGCCGGGGTGAGTCACGCGAGAGAACGGCTGCGCGCGATCGTCGAGGATCTCTCGCGACGAGACGGAAACGGTAAAGGGATAAGATAGCTTGGAAACTCGATCCCCCTTGCGTGCGAGTTTCCGTGCACGGGCAAAAATCTTTAAAGCCGCCCTCCTTGATAGGGGCGAGTGTGTTGCGCGACGAAAAATTGTGGATTTATCGGCCGGTTTGAAGGGGAGAACCGTTTCAACAAAGCGCGCACGGAAAGCAATTAATTTCATATGTCAGCGAAACTACATATTACAGCGCAATTTTTCTATTAAATATAGTACGATTGTGTGATAAAACGAAATTAAATTACGAAATATCGGGTCGAGTCATTTACACGGTTATCGCTACGCGCGTGCTCTTCTCCACCTCCAAAAATATATTAAAATGAATTTTGATGGAAAGCAAATTACATGTGGCTACTCGTGTGATTTTCGTTTCGTAGTTGCTATTCTAGCGTTTGATAATGACCAAATTTGCCGCAGTGCCGATCGAAATTCAGCGCATTTTCGGTAATAAAATTCAGATACGTGGCATACGCGAAACGTTAGACTGTTTATTGCGATGAATATTATCACGTGCCACGGTGATCAAATTGGCGAGACGCCCGCCTAGTGCGAGAGAGGTCCAGGTTCAGACCCCGGCTGAGGTGACTTTCGCAATAAATTTGAAATGACAATTATTTTGACATTTAACATCTTGTCGCGGCGCTTTAGTTCCCATTCCTTCGAATTTAAAATTCAGAAAATTATTATTTAGTCAGGAGTGCGAAATAGAAAGCTTAGAAGCTACACTACTGCCAACGGGGGGAGGGGGGAAGTATAAAAAACCCATGGAGAGGGTGTGTTATAATAAAACGAGGAGCGCGCCGAGTGTTTCGATTTCGTCGCCGCGGAATGAGAACGATCGTAGGGTGAGACCTCTCGAATAATAACAGCAATATCGTGCCGCTGGGCGCTGCCGGGTCCTTCGATACTACGGCCGCGGAAAGCGTCATTTATTCGTAATGGTACCATTCTGTACGCGCGCAAATCCCTCCCCCGTACCCTTATGATAACGCGCCCGACGTCTCGATGATACATGCCCACGGTCTTTCTCCCCTTTCACGCAAGACGGAGAAGCGATCTCTGCAGGCCCGGCAGATCGAACGATGCATTATTTATCCCGAATCAGAAACGAGAGTAATCGTCCGGCGTCGGAGGATCGCGCGATCGATATATCAATATTCGGGTAGGGGGAGCAATCTCCACAAATCGATGAGTCCGCTGTGGCCCCGCGCGATCGAAGGAAACGGAGAAAGAATTCCACTGATACTGTCCGATCGTCGAATTACGAAGCGTCCTCGGGTACACGAGACGCCAACCGATTCGCCGTAATTTGATGAAAAATGCTAAAGGACGAACTGAGAAGAATGGCGATTGTTTCGATTGAAAGTGAAGGAGATTTAAAAAAATGGAAACGGATAGGAGAGCAATTATACTTATTCCTTCGAATTTAAAATATTCTTACATTAGATATCCTACTGTCATTTCCAATCGATTCTCAGTCGCAATTGTTAAGATAGTGAGGTAGGAAAACACGAGCCTTGTTAAACTGAATACTTCCAATCAAACACCAAACTCTTGAAAGCGATAGTTTTGCCCTCGGCAAATATCGGATATTTGTATCAACAGTACAAAAGTCTGTAGTTCTTGAGGAACTGTTACATTAATTGGAAGAACTGTTGCATTGATTGGAAAAAAACTTCTGCAACGTGTGTCGTGTGCCTTCTTTACGTAAATCTTGGAAAATCCCGATAGCGTCTTTCAAAACTTAATTATAATATTAAACAGAGGGTGACTATATATTGTTAGTAATAATAGAAAAAATTATTTGACGACTTCAAGCTGGCCAAGTGGTTTATTTAATAATTCATTCCAACGTTCCGACCATCCGGATTGCGGTCCTTTCCAAGGAAAAAAAATACGTTAATTAGTCAAAATTATGAAAGAAGTTGTCATCTGTCTTTGGATATCGGAAAAAATTACGTTCGAAGGCACGTCTATCCGAAACGTTGGAATGAATTATTAAATAAACCACTTGGCCAGTTTAAAGTCGTCAAATAATTTTTTCTATTGTTAATCAACTACTGGCGACAATAACATTCTTTCCTGTCATTGTTTTTAATCTTACATGCCCTAAAGTACGAGCGTGGCGAAAGGATCGGAGATAATAATCGCAATGTAGTACGACATTCATAAAAAAAATACATGAAATTAATTTAACCATAAAATACTTGACTTTTGAATATATTCAACATTACTGAAAACTGCAAATTCTGTTAGAATACCTCAAGTATTGTAGGATTTATTGCGAAGAGAGCTTCATTTTATATCAGTAGAAAGAATTGCG